GAATCCCAAAAAACACGTTTTCTCATTTTTTTTGTTGTCAAATACAAAGTTTTCCCACAAAAATTGGTGTACCCATTTCTTGCATCCATGTTTTAAATACTCCCTTGAACAACTTGCACCAATAAAACCAGACTTTACAATTATTTCGGGGAAATTTGCTAATATGATTAGACTACATCATAATCAAATCCAAGCGAATAACTAAAATGTCTGTGTTATGTGCCGTGGTTATAATATGGTTCAAGATGACACACGGGTTGATGACGTCAGTTACCGGAATCGCTTGAACGTGTTGGTTTTAACCGCGGTTTTGTTGCAAGTTGTTTATTTTAGAAAGGCGCGTATATGATCTCTGATTATTTTTATTATCACTTAATAATCGGTGCTATTTCGTCTACAACGGGGTATGGAAAGTTGAAAAAAAGAAAACTTTCATAATATTAATGGGAGGAATGTTTTTTTTTTTTCAGAAAAAATGTTTTTTTCAGAATTTTTTTTAATGATGGAACCATGGCTTTGTAGCTATGATAACTTTCAGTTCTCTAAAGTTTACCGCATGTCAAACATTTATTGATTCAGCAGAAATGATGAAAAAAGAAATTAGCAAAACCGTATACAGGTGGACATGATCTAGTGAGTTTATATGACCATACTTTAATATTCTTGTGGTATATGACCACACAGGATACTTTGTTATGCTTAGGAACTACATTTAAAGTGTCCCCAACAACAGTAATGAGTATAACTAATAAGGTGCTCCACTTTATGGTAAAACTGAAGTCAGCCTGTATCAAGTTTCCCAAAAATGAAGCTGAAGTGCAATAATAATATCCAATACCTGACAAAATTCTAACTTGTCACATTTCAAATAATAACCAGAAATATAAAACTACTCCCGAGTTGGGTAAATACCACAATTTTGCGGTTGTAACTATGACATATAACAGCTGATTCATGACATCACGGATCTTATAACCAAGCTGATAACCACACTCGCTTGAACGGATCGGTAAATACCAACCCAAAATGGTAAATACCATTTTCATTTGGTTATCCGCTTGAAATTGATTCATATCTCTTGTGGTATATTCTACAACGTCACTTGTTTTGTATTTGACATCAGGGTATTGCTGGGAAATGGTATTGTGGAAAAACAAATTACCATATAAAAGGTGCTCCTTCCAAGATTTCTTTTGCACAAAATTACATATTACACTGTTGTGTACACACCAAACCTGCAATGGCTCCAAATTGGTGGTTATGTTAAGTGCACCATCACCATGTTGAGAGAGAATGCTCTGGAAGATGCACTATGTATTTTTGATAGATAACCATGAGAAAAATTTTCCTGAAAGAATTGCTGTTCGTCTTCTCATTTGAGTATTTCAGAAAGTATCTTGAATTGCAAATTTTGTTTGGAGGATTGTTGCCTTACTATTCAGCACAGCAGGGACACATTATTCTGCAACAATACCTTATTGTTGGACGTCTTTTTAGTTCTTTACACTTTACACACTATTTAATCATAAACATGTTTATTATAGGGAGTGGCATACTTATTATTCAATTATTCAGAGGTTCACCCAATGTACGGAATTAAATATATTCAACTCACCTTAACAATTAGATGTTTTTACAGAGACTTTAACTGTATCACTTACACCATCCACACTGAATCCACAATATACCTTATTAATTATCATAAACCACAATCGGTAACGATCTTTTTCATATGTTTGCTTATGACACAAAACACATGCACTGAAGCACAAAACATATACACTGAAAGAATGCTAACTCAGTGTAATTCAACCAGCAACAAGAATGTCGCCATGTTGTCGTGGTGAAAGAACAAATATGACACAGATAGAACAACTGCCTACTCAAACAATATGCCGCCATGTTTCTTACAATGACATACAGCGGTGCTCTCATGGTTGCCTACTTTCTCATCACATCTGTCACTCATTAATCAAATTCAAGCGCATAACCAAATGAAAATGGTATTTACCATTTTGGATTGGTATTTACCGATCCGTTCAAGCGAGTGTGGATATCAGTTTGGTTATAAGATCCGTGACGTCATGAATCAGCTGTTATATGTCATAGCTATCACCGCAAAATTGTGGTATTTACCCAACTCGGGAGTAGTTTTATGTTTCTGGTTATTATTTGAAACGTGACAAGTTAGAATTTTGCCGGGTATTGGATATTGTTATTGCACTTCAGCTTCATTTTTGGAAAACTGGATACAGGCTGACTTCAGTTTTACCATGAAGTGGAGCACCTTATTAGTTATACTCATTACTGTTGTTGGGGACACTTTAAATGTAGTTCCTAAGCTTAGCAAAATATCCTGTGTAGCCATAACCACAAGAATATTAAAATATGGCCATATAAACTCACTAGGTGATGTCCACCTGTATACGGTTTTGCTAATTTCTTATTTCATCATTTCTGCTGAATCAATAAATGTTTTCTTTGACATGCGGAAAACTTTAGAGAATTTTAAGTTATCATAGCTACAAAGCCATGGTTCCATCATTAAAAAAATTTTTCTGAAAAAAACATTTCTCCCATGAATATTATGAAAGGTTTCTTATTTAAACTTTCCATACACAGTTGTAGACGAAGAAGTACCGATTATTAAGTGATAATAAAAATAATCAGAGATATAGGCGGTTTTCTAAAATAAACAACTTGCAACAAAACCGCGGTTAAAACCAACGTGTTCAAGCGATTCGTGTAACTGACGTCATCAACCCGTGCGTCATCTAGAACCATATTATAACCGCGGCACATAACACAGAAATTTTGGTTATTCGCTTGGATTTGATTATTGTCATCTTTATTTGGTTGATTTGAATAGTTTTCCTAATAACAAAAATTAATTTTGCATTAGGAAAAACAATTCAAACACCTCACGTGCAGTTGTGATTGGGTTCGTTCAAGAGTGATAAATAAAACAATATAATTAGGAAAATAACTTTATTCTGGTAGATAACGTAATGTGGTGCATTTGCAATATAGTGCAATGAAGAATCAGAAACCCCCATGGGAGGTTTCTGAATAATAATTCGAATATACGATCATAAGGAAACTACAACAAACCCATGATATTATACTCAACAAAAAATAACAAAAATATTGTGAAATCTGTATGTAAAGGGTACAAGATTTCGTTAATCAAGCATAACATTATACTTCTGAATAAACATTAATTTGCAAAATTTTACATTTATTTCACATGAGTAAAGCCTGTATGTATACTAAGTGACATATAAATCCGAACACCCAGTTTAAATGGTTTTATTTTAATAAAATTTTGTATAAGTACTTAATGAAGCATATTAAGTAAATGATCAAAATTTCAAAATGATTGCACTGCTTTAAAGCCCTTTGACCTTTAATAATGTGTGGATGCACCCTGATGTGCTACGCATTCTCCAACGCGCCTAGGCATGCTTCTGATCAGGTGGTCAATGTCCTCCTGTGGTATCTCATTCCAGGCAACCACCAACTCCTCTCGAAGTGCTTCTAGAGTCTGAGGAGGACGTTGCAAATTGAGCAATCTCCTACCCATCATATCCCACACGTGCTCAATTGGGGATAAGTCGGGAGATCTTGGTGGCCATGGTAACAATGTGACATCATTATGTTGAAAGAAGTCTATTGTGACTCTTGCAACATGTGGTCGGGCATTATCTTGTTGGAAAGTTGGATCTGCCAGGGTGTCAAAATAGGGTAAAAGATGGGGTTCTAGAGCTTCGTGGATATAACGCTGCGCGTTCATGTTACCTCTGATGAAGATTAAAGGTGACCTGGAACCATAAGCTATAGCACCCCAAACCATAACTCCCACATTGTGATGAACATGTCTTTCAACAAAAAACTGTGGATTCCTCCTTTCACCACGTCGCCTTCTAACCCTGGCACGACCATCGTGCATGCCTAAACAAAATCGAGACTCGTCACTAAAGACAATACTGTTCCATTCCTGATCCCAGAGTGACCGTTGTCTGCACCACTCAAGGCGATTACGTCGGTGTTCTCGAGTTAAAGAGAGGACCCAGTGTGGCCGGTATGAAAACAAGCCAAAACTTCTCATTCGTCGGCAAACACTTCGCATGACAATAGGTCTTCCGTGTTCTGCAAATCATTCATTTGCAATGGACCTGGTAGTGGTGAAACGGTCCCTTAAGGCCAATAATCTTAGGCGGCGATCTTCACGGTCTGTTGTTCTACGGCGGCGTCCAGTGCCCCTTGCTCTTTGCGTACGGCCTTCTCGAAGCCATGCCTGACAACACCTAACCGTCTACACTTCTTTGCACTCTAACTGCAATTGCCCGAAAAGAAAGTCCAGCTTCCCGAAGTCCTACTATATGGCCCCTATCAAACTCACTAAGTTGACGAAATCGTACAGGTCTCCGTACTCTAGGCATCGTAACCGATCGTAAAGGATGTCAAGAACCAAAATCCGCCAAAGATGATTCTTTACTGCGGCTGAAATATTCATTTTTAGAGCGTTAGTGAATTAAAAAAAAGCAGTATAAAAAGCGGAATGTCCAACTGATAAGGCTGAAAATTTTTTCACTTGTTATTTACAGTAAGATAAATACATTCATCAACTTTTATTAAAATAAAACCATTTAAACTGGGTGTTCGGATTTATATGTCACTTAGTATATATGGTACAGGCCATATAAGCAACATACAATTCTAAAAAAATAAAATAATACACAATTCTATCACAATATGGTAAAAATGTCCTGGTCAGGTATGTCACAGCCGGGTTTGTGATGGTTCACCCATGGAGGTTCATAAAATAATTAAAAAACCAGCAGCAAATATTCGAAAATGATTTACCTGGTGGCATTCAACTTTTTCATTTTCCTTGAATAACCATCAGATGTTTCAAAAGGTGTTTTCAAAAAATTTTTATGTTTAATATACTAGAAGATTGTGTCAGTCTGATGCATTTGTTAATGATATTTTTGAGGTGATCATGAAAATTGCAAGGTTGAAAATTTTTAAGCAGTTGTGTCAGACCTGTTTCGAAATGAACATACAACTGTAATGAGGTCAACTCATCAGACAACAGTGCTTCCCAACATTTAGGGCATTGGGGGATGTTAACATCACTTTGTGCTGCAGTGAATTTGATACATTTTAGATTCCCTTTCTGTTAATTGACTTTTTTACTTCTAATTGTGTAAGGCATGAACTCAAAGTGTCTGACAGAAATGTATATTTACCTTGATAATGAGTCTGTACCACAGAATCTGGCTTAGAGCAGTGATCATGTTCAATTGTACTTACATCTGTCAAGTCTTTCGTACTTCTTTTGGCAGGCAATTTACATGGCTTGCTGCCAAAGTTGAAGGAGAATCACAAATGCTTGCTGAGAAACTGCAATATCAGAATGACTAATGGGTTGACTTAGAATTTGACCATCAACATCTTTTGGAACTGCAAGACAGTTCAAACGTGAATAGGGATCCTGAAGGGAAACATTATCACATAGTACGAACTGGTCCTCGCAAAGATATTTATTAGATTTTGTACTGGAACCTAATCCACAGGCATTGTATCACAATTGCCTTTGACTGGAATTTTTTGGGAATCGAAATTTCTTGGATGGGGGATATGAATGACTTACATTCAATATGTATTTATTTTGGCTATAAGGATATAGGCACTGTCGTGTACATTTCTTGCTTGTTTTTGCCATATTAGTATCATAAAGATTTAAGTGAAACATAATAAATGCCTTGAGCAACTTCACAATATTATCAGAATCAATGTCATGTAGGTACTCACCTGTATTTTTTTTAACCCACTCCAATCTTGAAGCATGGGTGACAGAAACTGGAACTGAAAATATTGAAAATCATTTCTTGACACACACAGTTTATAAGAAAATAAGGTAGGCACAGAGGAACCGAGTGGAGTAATAAAATTTTAATCAGGTTTTTTTTCAAGGTGTACATAAACGCATGTTTAATTAAGGGTTTGATGACATACTCTAAATTCCAATAAATATCAAAAGTAAAACTGCTCTATTTCATTATCACATCTTACCTATATTAATTATTTCAGAGCAACATTGTTCCAAGCCACTCCACATGTCGGCACATTTTTAGCGGTAAAGGAAAAATGGCAGCTTGACAGCGGTGACGTTAAAGAAAAACGTATGAAAGACAAGTGACACTATCAAGATAAGTGACAGTAAGTGTAAGAACACAGTGCACGCGAGATTCTCGCTTACCGGTAACCTGCGCCATCTCGCGTTTATCGCTTTAAGAATTATCACGTGTATTCATATGAACGTACACACAGTGAAAACAGGTTGCAGCAGGTCCGCGCGGATAACCTGCTCGCAGGCGCTCACGGTATTCAAAATTTAGTTTATTTCGGCTTTTGTCGCGCGAGTGAGTAGTATATTGTGATGGATAAAGAATTGCTTATTGCTGCGGTGTTTGAAAGAACAGCTATTTGGAACAAGAGGGATAAGCTACATAGCAATCGCAATGTGGTTGACAGATACTGGAAGGAAATAAGCATTGAAATAAGACAGGATGGTAAGTACCTAGGTGTATTTGTAGTAATATTATTTACATTATATTGCAGTATTATTTGAAAAGCTTAATCTAGGTTTTGTATGACAAAGTATTGTGAGCAAAATATGTTACAAAAATATCGCGAATATTTTTAGCGTCATTCAGAGGTCTTCCCGTCGCTTTTTTACCTGTAGTTTCTGTGCAATTTTCGACAGATACTTCACTAAGATGTCTTTCGAAACCTTCCTTATCAATAATTGTGTTATGTAGAATGCAAATACATTTAATAATATTATCAGCTGTCGTAATATTGGTTTCAATACATTTTGAAAGTATACGCCATTTTGCAGTGATTATACCAAATGTACATTCTATGGTTTTTCTAGCACGAGATAGGCGTTTATTAAAACATTCCTCCTCAATACTCAAATTTCTTCCACCAAAAGGTTTCAAGAGGAAAGGCAGGAGTGGATATGCCTCGTCACTTATTAGTACAAAAGGCGCCTTGGTTTTTGTTTGCGGAAAATTGCATGGTTCCGGAATTGCTAGTGTGCCATTTTTTAATTGACGATATAGTTCGGAGGCCTGAAATGTACCGCCGTCACTTTGTTTACCGTAACCGCCAATTTCTACAACAATAAATTTGTAATTAGCGTCCGCTACGCCCTGTACAACAGAAAAATAGTGCTTATAGTTATAAAACATTGATCCTGAATTTTTAGGACAAACAATGCGAACGTGTTTGCCGTCAATGGCTCCAATACAGTGTGGAAAATTCCAAATATTATTAAATATATTATTAAATTCTTCTGATATCCTTTGAAAATCTTGTTTCTTCGGAGTTGGCATATGAATAGGCTGTAGTACATCCCATATTATACAAACTGTTTCTTGAACTATTTGTCCTACGGTTGAAGCGCCAAGTCTAAACGAAAATCCAATTTGTTTGAATGATGATCCAGTTGCTAGATATCTGTAATTAAATCAGGATAAAAGTCAAAAAAATACTCATGACTTCATTACAATTTAATTAACACGGGCTTAATTTTGTAAACTGTGACTGTGACTGTCATGAAGAAAGTTGTAGATACCTAGAAGTATTCTATTTTTATTTTTTAGAGGCCAAGATCAGAAAGCAATGGAAGTATTTGCGGGACCAGTTCTCCGTTGAATTAGGAAAACTCCCCCCGCCAAGGTCTGGAGACGCTGCCGAAGATCTTCCTACATCCAAATGGCCGTATTTCACACAACTTCTTTTCCTGAAGGACGTGATCAAACCGAGGGCAGCCAGCGGCAATTTATCGATGATGCAGTCAGCTCAGTCCACACAGGAGACAGAAGAAATTCAATCTTCGAACGAGAATAGCGATAATGAAGAGTCTTCTCGAGAAAGTGAAGGTTGCGTGGTACCGCCTACTCCTATTTCAAGGAAAACAAATCCTACCTCAGCATCCATTACGGCACAGAGAAAAAGGAGAACTGCTACCGATGCATATCAAGAATCAATGCTGGAAATAGAAAAACGCAAAGTGGAATATCTCGAAAATAAGGCCAAAAGAGGTTGCAGTGATCAAGATGACGAGCATATGTCATTTTTCAAAAGTTTGCTTCCACATGTAAGGCAAATACCTGCAAACAGAATATTATGTTTCCGTTCCCGCGTGCAAGAATTAGTGGATCAATTTTCCTACCAACATAACACCTTTTCTCATCTGTCATCTTCTGCATCATCCCATTGTAGTGCGCCTTCTCCTTATAACATAGATCAGAATAGCTGCGCGCCTTCTCCCAACTATCATAACATACAAGAAACTACGCATTCGTCCATTCCCTTAAACCAACCATCAGTCATGTTTCAAAGTCTTCCCGCTACTGTTTCTAGGCTCCTTGATAATAACCAACAGCAAAATACAACTTATGTATCTTTATCATTACCAGAAAATGGTATCCATCCATGACTCAATATTATTGTACAACTGATAAAATCAATAAAACAATATTTGTAAGTATCTAACTGTTATTTCATTTTACGCTGCAATTGATTCACGTTTAGAGAAAAGATTCGATCACGAGGCAGGAAATCGACCAAAAAACAAACGTATAAACAAACCCTCAGACTAAAACGATGTTTAAACTCACAAAACTCACAGTTCAAGTTAAGCCTGTGCAACAGAAATCTACAAATTGAACTAATTTTACGTCTAATCTCAAGTTAAGTAGAACTAGTGCTGGCGCAACAGGCCATTACTGAATGAGTATGATACTTTGAAAATGATTCTGATTATTTTTTCACGAGAAAACTTACCTTAAAGTTATAACAAGCCTTTCTTCTGGTAATATAGCTTGCTTATGCAGATTACACCAATTTTTGGTTAGACGATTCCCAACTTTCTCCAAAATATAATTGAATGTGTCCTGGCTCATTCTCATATACTGGAAGAATCTTTTATCATCTTTCTTCAAGCTTGGAAATAAATGATGGTATTCCCCATAAGTTATTCTTTCACTATTAATAGAATGTATTCCAACCCTTTTCTTTCTTACTTTGGTAGAAATCGACTCTAAAGCAATCAGATCATCATCAGAAGACGACATGTTGCTGCGAATAGATAAAGAACGCGACTAGCGAGTTTTTAAAATGATTTTCCTCGCTTTTACCGGCATCCACTCTGTGCTATCTCGGCGCGAGAAACAGGCGCCAATCTGCTTCGACTACCGGTAAGCGAGAATCTCGCGTGCACTGTGTGTTTACACTAATCAAATCCAAGCGAATAACCACAATTTCTGTGTTATGTGCCGCGGTTATAATATGGTTCAAGATGACACACGGGTTGATGACGTCAGTTACACGAATCGCTTGAACGCGTTGGTTTTAACCGCGGTTTTGTTGCAAGTTGTTTATTTTAGAAAAGCGCGTATATAATCTCTGATTATTTTTATTATCACTTAATAATCGGTGCTTTTTCGTCTACAACTGTATATGGAAAGTTTAAATAAGAAACCTTTCATAATATTCATGGGAGAAATGTTTTTTCAGATTTTTTTTTAATGATGGAACCATGGCTTTGTAGCTATAATAACTTTCAATTCTCTCAATTTTTCCGCATGTGAAAGAAAACATTTATTGATTCAGCAGAAATGATGAAAAAAGAAATTAGCAAAACCGTATACAGGTGGATATCATCTAGTGAGTTTATATGGCCATATTTTAATATTCTTGTGGAATATGGCTACACAGGATACTTTGTTAAGCATACGAACTACATTTAAAGTGTCCCCAACAACCGTAATGAGTATAACTAATAAGGTGCTCCACTTTATGGTAAAACTGAAGTCAGCCTGTATCATTTTTCTCAAAAATGAAGTTGAAGTACAATAACAATATCCAATACCCGGCAAAATTCTAACTTGTCACATTTCAAATAATAACCAGAAATATAAAACTACTCTTGAGTTGGGTAAATACCACAATTTTGCGGTGATAACTATGACATATAACAGCTGATTCGTGACGTCACGGATCTTATAACCAAACTGATAACTACACTCGCTTGAACGGATCGGTAAATACCAATCCAGAATGGTAAATACCGTTTCTATTTGGTTATTCGCTTGAATTTGATTAGTATCAATATTGACAGTGTTGCCGGCCGTTTTTTTAACCACGAAAAACGTTGCGTCTTGTCAAGCCTCAGTTGACCCCACGTGATGAAGAACCCAAAACATATAGCTGAAAGCACTAAACATATACACTGAAGAAGGTTTAATTCCAAGCTATTCAATGGCAACACGGTGACTTGTGTGGTTGTCAGCGACCATTCTTTGAGGGTTGCCAGATTGTGCATTCATATCCCGCAACGTTGTCAGCTTTACATATAAATCTGAGATTGCTATACTTTTATATATGCGAATATTTAAGCGTGTGAACCTACATGAAAAATTGATGTTAGTTCGCTTTATAAACTATGGTCCAAAAATGTTTCCTTACAAAAACTCGGGGTGTTGAAGTTTTAGAAAAAAAATGGAAATTAATTAATATTTTCAGAACCGCTTAGGATATTTTACTGAAATTTAGTACGTACAGTATATTCAGATAAGAGATAGACCGGACATAAACAAGACCACGTGATCATCGAACGCTGTAACATTCGGCAGGGACGTATTAAGAGTCACGCAGTACATATTTTAGATAGTAGATGCTGCTTTGCGTAACTTTGTAGTAAATTAGCACAATTCGATGTGTATACGATTGGTGATGGATATAGGATCATGTGGGGGTGGGGTAAGAAATATATAATGATGTAAATATACATAAGGGTTTCAAAAGTTTCGCTTCGATTTCCAGCTTCGGATGCCGCCTGATGTTTGGTGAAATACAGTCGAATATAATCTCAAAATGGCGTTTAAATTAGCCTAAATTAAAAATAATCGTATATCTCTTAAAATTGCTTTTAGAATATTGATTAGTATATTTTTTGATTTCTAGGTAAATATGTAACCAAATTAAAACGTTCAAAACGTAAAAAAATGTGCATGGTTGAACATTGTCAGAAAGTAGATTCTTGAATAGGTTTTGCCAAAATGGGTTCAAAAATGTCAATAATTAATTAAAAAATACAGTAGCTTTATAATTACTTATAACTTACCGAATTTGATGAACGACATCTTTTATTGGAAAGATGAGCTTGATGAGCTTTCATCATCGCTACTGCCTGAAGCACCAACGTCAATAATGAATGGCTCGACTTGTTCCTCTAAAATATTGTCCAGTTCCCACATTCTCTTTTCAACTTTGTCTTTCACGTGCTTAATACAGTTTTCCCATTTTTGCGCTGTTATTAATTCTAGTGCTTCTTTGAAAAGTCCTTTGAGGTCACAAAATTTAAAAGTTGTATTGTGCTTAGCTATATAATTTTTAACCTCTGCCCATATGAGCTCAATGGGATTGAGCTCGCAATGGTATGGAGGTAAACGGAGCACAGTTTTATTTTGACTTGCTGCCATTTCGTCAATGGCGTATTTTTGATATTCCGCCTTGTGATCCTTGACAATTCTTAATAATTGTACTTTCAGCATTGCTTCTTCAAAGTTGATATTTTTCGAGCGGAGCCAATTTTGAACATCAACTTTCCTTGAAGCCGTTGTTGGGACCTTCTCCATTCTTCGAGAATGATAAGGCGCATTATCCAAAACAATTACTGCGTTTTCCTCTAAGTTCGGTAAAATTTTTGAAAACGACTGTTCAAACGATTCGCCATTCATTTCCTCGTGGTAATCTCCAGTTTTCTTAGACTCAAAGCACCACAGACCGTCAACAACAAATCCATCCTCACTGCCAATATGGCAGATAATGAGCCTTTTCCCTTTACCTGGAGATCGAAGTACTAACTGGTGTAGATTTATTTCAATAAGCGAACCTTTTTCAAATGTTTTCATCACATTCAGCGAAAAAACATTGAGACATGAGTATCAGATTGCTATAATTGGGATTATTTAGTCATATTGAAAGAAAGAATATTGAACGTCGTATGATTACTCAGCGCTTCACAATTTAATTTAAAGTTATAAACCTTTAAAAAATGAATGATCAGGAACCTGAAATACGCGCAAATATTAATATTAACAAATTATAACTTTATAAAGCTTAAAGTATGAATTAAAATGATTAGAAATATTAGGAACGGTACACAATATAAAACTTAGTAACTTTTTTTAAGTTTATAATATTCGACATATTTTAAGATTATATTAAAAAATTATTGAAATATCGAAAACACATAAAAAGTTATAAAAGTTTTGTTACTTGTAATATGTTTTATCTGCCCCCTGGAATTAATGTTTAGAACCTTGTTCCCAAGGTTTGAAAAACATCCGATTGTTGTCTATTACTCGTATTTACCTGCTGGATTTTTTAATCCGGTGGACAGTCCATCTAGAAAGGCCCTCCTGGATGAAGTTACAGAATCATCAACCCATACTTAACTTGTAGTGTGTCCTGCGTTTACCCACGTTTCATCAAGGTAATAAATCTTCCTGTTTTGATTTCTATATTTCCCAATTTTTGTTAAATAATCCCTCCTCCATAGCACAATTTCTTCTCTATCCAGTAGTAAACTATTACGACCCCGTTTTTTTCATTTGAAATTTAAATGCTTCAGTAACGCATGGAAAGTTGATCGTTTGAAATTTGGCAACGTTGTATCTCCATTTACCTGCTGCAGTACTTTATCTATAGTAGGTATTTCATTCCTAAAGAAGAATTCATGCACTTTCCTCCTAATCGCATGCTTATCAGCTTCATCCAATGATTTAACAATACTTTTGCGATGTTTACTGGTCATTGGCTCAGAAAAGGTGTGATTTTTTTTGTATTGTCTTAACACATTAAACACTGATGCGCGACACACCCCAACTTTGTGAGAAACCTTCACAACAATTTCTTTGATGGTTGATGCCTCGTTCTCCTCGCGCTCGATCTTATATATATTCAAAATGACCTCTTTCATTTCTGCACTCAGGTGTCTTTTTTTAGAGCGTTTCCTAGGTGGACTACAGGAGTTTACAACTTCATCGGCAGTATCTGTACTACTGGGCATTTTGCGCAAGCAGTTTATAACAATAACAATCATTAACAAGGTATAACAATAACAACGACAAACTCAACAACTTAATAAGATAACAAACGAAAACGTCCAAAGAAATATCAAATTGCAATGATGCACACGACATACGTAACACGTCTGAACCTGAATGTGACTCTGCCTTGATACGACTGCTCTGCCGCTCGGCATAGGCATTTAGTTGCGAATTGACCAATGAGGGCTCCTGTTTTACGTCGAGACGGCGGCGTTAGCGTGAAAACCACCAGAACCTTTTGTTTACATCCGGTCTATCTCTTATCTGAATATACTGTAGTGAAAGTTAATAAAGTTGCATATTTTTCAATGGTAAAATAATTTTTAGCTTTAACAGTGGCGTGCGTACGGGTATTGACTTCGATATTTTTTAAGAAAAAAAATGGTACGCCAATGGTTTTTTTGCCAAATAAAAATTACTTTTGAATTCACCGTTCAATTTAAAACAAATGATCTTTCTTGAATTGTTTTCCTTCGATGCGCCATTTTTGAGTAAAAAAATAAAAACC